TAACCTAGTTTGTAGATGCCAGATGAATTAATATATTCTGCATGAATATACTCTATTAGTTAACACTGTTTGCTTAATAAAAGAAACCTTGGCTGGTAGACGAATTGCACTGGGGAAATCTGCTGTCGGAGTGCTGAAAAGCAACGATGTCAGTCTAGAGACTAAGGTGCGACTGATCCAGGTGAGCTTGCTATGCATCAAAGAGCTGGACAATGACCAAGGATGACAGAAGACGAATTGATGCCTTTGAGTTATGATGCTGAAGAGTCTTGAACATACCATAGACTGCCAAGACAACAAATTGATCTTTTTTGGAGAGGGTGAAACCAAGTTTCTCTTTGGAGAATAGGATTTCTGTCTCAGTCCTTTGGACACGTGCCCAGGAGAGATAAGGACTTCATGATTGGAAGAGTGGAGGGACAGCGCAGGAGAGGAAGACCCCGGATGAGATGGATGGACACAGTAAGTGGAGCACTGGGGGAATGTGCGTCTTTATCAGTGAGATGAGCTAAGGGCAGGGCAGAGTTCAGAGCTGTTATATACAGAGCCGCTATGAGCTGCAGGCAACTCGAAGGCATTAACACCACCAGTTGAGCATCACCATCTGATTAACCCTTGTCTTTGTTCAGATGAAGTTAGTGAGGCATCATTTTCTGGAAGCGGCCATCCGCCTATTTCTCAAGAAGAGTGAACAGACAACTCCACCTCAGGCATGCCCTGAGCGAGGGAGATGGAATTGCTGGAGGCGAGCCAGGCGTGGGTCCAGGCCCTCCCAGCGCCTTTACAAGATGGCCGCCCAGCCACCACCTGACCGGGAGGAGGCGGCGCTCCGTCCTGCTAGCCCTGCCCCACCCGCTCGGCCCCGCCCTGCGCCCCTCTGGCCTCGGCGGCGCGGGTTATGAGGTGTCTCGCGGAGCGCCTGCGCAGTGGGCAGCGGCACGCGGGGCGGAGGCTTTATAACCACTTCGTCGCCGTTGCTCGGATCCTATCTCTGGGAGGGCGGCCGAGGCGGCGGCTGCTGGGACGCCGTCTGAGGGGGCAGTAGAGGCGGGCGCTGTGGCGGCGCTGGGCGCCCCTCGCCCTTCGACATCTAAGGACCATGGGCTCCGAGAAGGACTCCGAGTCTCCGCGGTCTACATCCCTACACGCGGCCGCGCCCGACCCCAAGTGCCGCAGCGGCGGCCGGCGCCGGCGCCTCACCTTCCACAGCGTCTTCTCCGCCTCGGCCCGCGGTCGCCGCTCCAGGGCCAAG